ATTTTGTCAACCATCAAAAAAAATGTAAAAACCATCCCTAGTTAATAGGTCTGCAAGAATAGGCAAATGATGGAATTTGGTATGCAAGTTATGGTTTTCCAACCCCTGCTTTAAAAAATCTGTAGGAGGATGGGAAAGTAGCTAAGTGGTAGAGTGCTAGTGCAGGTGGTCCTGGGCTTGATCCTCAGCTTTACAAAATAAAAGAAAAAAAATCTTGAAAGATCTCACCTAAAAACAGTCTTAAAAATTATATAAGAAAAATTTGTTGTTATTTCTAATTCTTAGGACTCTTTAGAACAATTAGACTACTTTGGTTAATTTAGGACTAGAAACCATTTGCTTTTCCCCTAACCATACAATGTGAAATGAGAAATATGACATTTTTTAATGGATATAAGATTTAAAATTTATTTACTCACTAACTCCTAATTTAAACGTTTTAAATTTTAGTGGTTTTCAAGTTCACTTCTTTGTGAGGCCCTAGAATATGAGAAATAGAAAGAGGGAGAGGAGACAGAAAAGTCACCAGATTTTGATGTAGATCTGCTTTCTTTGAAGAAGAAAAAGAAGGAAGGGGAATTGGATAAGCAGGATCTCAGACTGCCAGACCAGTGGTAAATCTTCTACCAAAATCTCAGATTGGAGCAATATGGCAAGAACAGGCCTGCCTTTTGTATTCCTTAACTGAGAACAGTGTGTGGAAAGTGTACTGTGGAACCAAAATGGTGGTAGATTCAGAGATAAATCCAGAGTGCAAGAACTGGGACCACTTGCCAATTAAACTGTTCTCAGTGAGATCTATGACTGGTGCATTTCTACTACACTGTCACCACAGAACAGATAAATATTTTATGGAAAGAAAAACTTATGTTATTAAATTCAGTGTTTAACTAAATTATATTATAATGACAGATGTGTATGAAAGGTTTTACCCTTTTCTTTTATATTCTAGCCTGCACTGTAAATTTTTTTTTCTGTCTGGATTTTTAAAAATTTTAAATGTTATCTCTTTATATATTCCAGGTAATAGGCCCTTTTGAATATGTGATTTGGAACTATTCTCTCACTCTTTACCTTATATTTTCATCTTATAAGAAAGGTCTTTCACAGAATAATAATTTTTCATTTTGATGTAGTCATATTTTTCCTTCTATGGTTTATATTTTTAGGAAATCTCTAGAGTTTTCGCATACCTCTAGATCCTGAAGACATTTTCCTAATTTTCTTCCTCTAAGGGTTTATACTTTTCATTATTATTTTTTGTAGTGTTGGGGAGTAAACCCAGGGACTTGTATATGTAAGGCAAGCACTCTACCAACTGAGCTATATCCCCAGTTATATACCCTAAATGATACTGGGAAAACTGGATATCCACCTGAAAAAAAATGAAGGTGGATCCTCACCTAAGGCTTCTGATTCTGTTTTTGGCCAGAATGCTGTAGGAGAGTTGTTGTAGAGGAGCAAGCACTATACGATTTCAATGTTCCCAGCATGGTGATGTCAGTTTGGTCATTGTAGGTAAAGTATTACCACTTGGATTTCTTCAAGGTGAGGTTACCATTTTCATAAGTAATCTGTTGGGAAATAACTTTGAAACTATATAAATGTCTTGTTCCTCGTCAGACTTTCACCCATAACTTTAGCATTGCTTAATTAATTAATTTTGCCTGAATCAACCATTGCATTACTGTCATTTCTTCCACACTTATAACTTTGCAACTACTGTAAGAAAACCTTTCTCTTCTGCATGACCAATGTGATTCCGCAACCTGTACACTCAGAAAAATGAGAAATTATACCCCATCTGATTCAAATGTATGATATGTCAAGATCATTGTACTGTCATGTGTAACTAATTAAAACAAATTTAAAAAAAGAAGAAAACCTTTCTCTTCTCTCCTTTCATCTTTCTCTTGTTCTTTCTTATCAGTATGAACTCAAGTATTCTTATTTTATTCAACAGATTATATTCCTTTATTGTTCAAAAAAATTTTTTTAAATCCTCAGTGTTTTAAAAATCTATTAGGTCCTATGTCCTTTAGAGCATCCTATCATCTTTTGAACACCTTCTTACACCATAGCACATAAAGAAGTTCCAGCCCTTTAAAATCTCATAGAAGCCTTGATTCCTTGTGGTGGAGATCTGTTTTAAGAAATAGAGGTATAAAACTAGTTCTGCTCCTTGCTACTACATGTAATGTATTTGCACTGTTTTTTGCTTTTCTCTGTCCTGGTTTCCTGTACACCTTTGTCGGTGATTTAAAAACATTCAGAGCATCATTAAAAAAACAAACAAACAAACAAAAACATACTTAGTAGAATTTAAGATCTGTTTGTAGTTCTGTTCTATCCAGAATGCAGTTCTAAGAAGTCAAAGTACCGTGTAAAACATTTGCTAGAACTCGTCTCTCTTACTTTATTCATTCACCAGGCGGACTCTTGCCATTTACCTAGACTGACCTCAAACTTGAGATCTTCTTGCTTCAACCACCTAAAGAGTTAGATTACAAGCATGCACAACCGTGTCCAGCGTTTGTTTGTTTGTTTCTTTCTTACTTCCTTTTTTTTCTACTTAGTGTTATCTTATTCGTTTGAGATCATTTGGGGTTTTTTTTTCCTATTTGTATTCAAGTTTAAAGTACTTTTTCTTTATATTCTTGAATTGATTTTTAAGTTTGCCTATATAAAACATTAACACGATTCCAAAGAATTTCTTTCTACACAAAGTGTCACTCGAAAAATTTTCAAAATGCAAGAGATTACTGTATCTTGGGACGCCCTCATGTGGAGAAATGTGTTCTTCAGGCATCTTGGGAACCGACTTTTGAGTAGGCTGACAAGAATGTGTAACTTCTCTGAACAGTGCCTTTCTGTCTAATATTGTTAACTTTTTCTTGATGTAGCTTTGAGACAGAATGCAACATAAAGGGTTCAGAAGAAACAGAATTAAAAAAAAAAATCTTTGTACGTATTAAATTTCAGGCTCGGGTATGCAGGGGGCGGGGGAGTGCACAAGCGGATACATGCCACTAATATGTTTTTGAAGCAAAGTTAAACCAGCGGGGGTGTAGCTCAGTGGTAGAGCGCGTGCTTAGCATGCACGAGGCCCCGGGTTCAATCCCCGGCACCTCCAATTGGAGAACCGTCCCTTTTTGAAAAATTTCTGTCTGCAATTCTTAGTTTTTCTACATGGCAACAACAATATATTTTCTTAGCAAGTTTCTTAATCATTTTGGGATGCGCAAACTAACTTGTGTTTGTTTATGTTTTTTTTTCATGAGCTATACATTTTATTTTTTAAAAAAATCATATTATTTAAGTTGACAAAATTGTGTGCACTTACTTACCTGATCTGAAATAGATATACATATATTAGAATAGCTAAATAGAGATAATCCATATATTATATCCATACCTCACACAATTTTGTGGTAACAACATTTCTTCCTTCCACCAGTCCTAAACTCAGACTCTCCGAGTAGTTGGGAGAGGGCAAATTCTTGAAAACTCTGCAAAAATAGAAATGGACTTAGCATACATGGAAGCATCAAAGAAGTGTATCAGTACTCTGTCTATACTGATTTAGGAGAATTGTTTTATACTGGTGGGATGATTCAACTCTCTCTCCACAACAATGAAAGTGCACTTCCAGAACAAATTAAATTTTCTGTCGCGACAACACAATACACAATACACTCGAATATTTTTCACATTTTTATAAGCAATTAAACTTGTTCAAGTAAATCTTTTTCTGTTCTTTTTATAATTTTATCATCCCTAGTTATAATTTGGCTTAGCAATTTCACTTCAGGTTGTAATGAATTATTGCTTTTTCAACTTCTTAGAAAACACTCTCATTGTTGTTCCATGTACGTAGTTGAGTTTATTTCTTCATTTTAAACTATTATTGACTTTTTGAATAAACAACGGATTAATATTGGTAACAGTAGACTCATATAGCACCAATGGAAAACACACAAAGTTATTTGCCTGTATTTTTAACAATTGATGCCACTCCCATAATCTTCAAGTCTTCTATCAACCATTTTCACAAGTTTATTTTCTCATGACAGATTTCTTTGGCTACTAAAATAGAAACACGGCTCATCATGGCAAATATTTCTTTCATGGCCATGCTTGGTCAGAGCCTGGGTTAAGGGATATTCTGAGGAACACAGGGGTTCCAACCATGATCTTCAGCATACCAGAAATATTATTCTGCCACTGTATTATGCCTACCTGTCCTCCCTCATCATTAAAAAAAAAAAAGTTTTTATGAAGAAAAGCTGCTGTGATGAGCAGTGCCATTTTTAATTTTCTAATTTTTCTTAGAATTATGTTCATGTAAGTTGGGAGTATTGTGATGAGTGCTTTGTTAACATTCACATATATTCTCTTTGCAAAGTTACAGAATTATCAAGTTCCATTTCTTGATATCTTTAAAGATTATGAAAGACCAAAACAAAGAAAAAAGAAAAAAAATAAGGAACCCAGGAATTTTTTTTTTCTTTAATTTCCTTAATTTTCTGAGCTGTGTCTGTGGAAGAGCAGAAAGACCTTTTTATTATTGGTTCATTATAATTATACTTAATGGCTGGATTCATTGTGCTATATTTGTACTTGCACATAACAATTTGACCAAGCTCATTCCACTTTACCTTCATGTTTCCCAATCCTCTTTCTTCCACCTGGTCTTCTTGCTCTACTCTACTCATAATTATATCTAAAGTACTTCCCCATACCCTGCTCCCTGTCTCTCCCCTTTCTCTACTCTAGTGGTGAGATCCCAGAAAGGCTTTCTTTTAAATCCCTGTCCCTTCTTTTCTGTCTCCCTCCTCCATTTATCCACACCACTGTGCCAGGACTTTGATCCAAGCAGTTTGTGTGGGAGACAAGGATTGGGTCTGATCAAATTTAAGCAGAATCTGAACCAGTCTAAAAATTAAAGTTGAAAACAAAGTATTCGAAGTGAAGTGAAAGAAGCCCAGAATTTTCAGGGAGCCGAGATAGCTCAGTTGGGAGAGCGTTAGACTGAAGATCTAAAGGTCCCTGGTTCAATCCCGGGTCTCGGCAGGTTTGGTCTTTTAGTCAAACTCAACAAAAGGATGATTGAATGGTTTCAGTATGAGTAAAGAATGTAATGATCCATTAGAGCAGAATTTGACTGCCCTTATATTCTAGATACCACATAGTGGTGTTAACTAAGTAAAAGGATTGGTTTTAGTATAACTTAATAATTCTTGATACATTTGTAATTCAGTAAAGAAATGTGCTACAAAGACAACTTTTTTGTTTGACATGATGTGTATGATTAAAAAAATTGTCCTGGTAGAGATGTGCATGACACTGAAAACGTCGTGCAAATGTCACTGAGTCACTATGATTTGAGGGACACACAGTTGCAGTGTGAAATAAAAGAAAGTCTTAAACTATTGCTACAGTGACAACACACAAATGAATGAGGGGTCTGTGTTGAAATAAAATTGTGTATGTAGCCATGGAAATTTGAAATTCAGACAGATGTGGTGGGACATACTTATAATTCCAGAGACTCTGGAGGCTGAAGCTGGAGGATCACAAATTTGAGGTCAGTCTCAGCAATTTAGCCATACCCTGTCTCAAAAAATAAAAAGGAGGGAGTCACTCAGTGTTAAAGTGCCCCTGGGATCAATCCCCAGTACTCCCATCCACACACAAAAAAGAAAGATATTGGAATTACTTACAAAATTTTGCATGTTAGGCAATACTAGTTATTTTTTTCAGTCTTTTAAAATGTAAAAACCCTTGCTCACTTTGGCAGCATACATACTAAAGTTGGAATATACAGAGATTTGCCTGGCCCTGTACAATAATGACACAAAAATCATGACGCATTCCATATATATTGTTTTTCTTTTAATGTAGAAAAATATTCTTAGATTGCAACCAATCTTTTACTCACCTGGGGCAGAGGACCCCATTGCAAATACCAAGATTAAGAGCAAGCACAATTTTGGTAGCCCTGTATGAGTTAGAACTGATTAGTAACAAAAGCAGAGGGATCTATCCTGTACAGACAGCCTCAAAGCTTTGTTTCCTATCTTGGTGACTTAAGAGCTTACTAACTAAACTACATGGACTTAAAGACTTGGATGGAGCACATATATTCTCCTAATTCATTTGATAGCCCTTGTCCTAGTCTGTGAATCTCCTTTGTATTGTCTAAAAATTCCATTTTTTTTAAAGAGACTACTATTGTTAACTCTCAAGAACCCAGTTTCTCTCTCTCCTCTCTTCCATATTTTTAGGGGTTCAATACCAGACCTGTGTTGTGCACTAGAAAAAGTCATTGGGTGGAACCCAGGGCCTTACACTTGCTGTGTATGTGTCCTACCACTGAACTACACCCCAAAAAGCCACTGAGGGTATTAGTTTCTCCTTCATTACACATTTGTCTTCCTCTTCAAACATGTGCAAATCATGTTAGGGAACAGACAAATGGGAGTGGTGGAAACAAGAAGTCAAGAGAATAATTGTTTAAAATGGGCCCATTATGCTGACCCCCATATGCTTTCTTTTCCAAGAACCAATTTACCTGCAAACCTGCCTGACCTAAGTGGATAGGATATGTCACATTCCTCAGCCAATGATCTGTTAACTGCAGGAGAAATGCAGGCCCCAAATAATACTAGTAAGAGGAGCCCCTGAAGGCGGAGACTTTTGGGACTAGATCCTGAAATTCTGGGACATCAGGATAGTTTCATAAAATCTGTAAGAATGTATGGTTAAGAATCCAGTTGAAACTGGTCAGCATGGGCCAAGGTGACCTCGAATTGCCACGGGCAGTGGAGACTTGAAAGTCTGATGTCACCCTGCTGTCAATCAAAAGTCTGGAAACTTCTCTGGGATTCCCCCAATAAAACTGGAGTGCAGGAGAGGCACATTGTCCTTCTCCTCTTTGAAAGGACCCATTCTCTTCCTTGAGAGTTTCCCTTTTCCCTTTTCCTAGCCCTTCAATAAACTCATTACTGTTAACTCTGAGGGACATGTCTGAAATCTTTCTGACTTGGTCATAAGAATTGGGGTTTGAAAGGAGGGTCTTTGCACTGCCTCAGTTTCTTGTAAGGCCCCGGCTCTGTAACAATAGGAACTGCCTGAGCTCACTTCTAGAAATTGTCACCTAAAAAGAAAGAATTGGTGGGTCTTAAACCCCTGTCAGAGACTCAACATAAACAGGAAGTCAGTTGCCTTAGACAGCCTGAAATGAAAATACCTGGAGCAAATACTTGATTTACTTTCATTGCATTAAACCCTCGAGAAAGTTAAAGCAAGAAACTTTTCTGATCTCTGCTTTCCATAGAAATAAGAATACTCTCACACTGTGAGTTTCAGCAGTCTGATGGACAACAGATCTAATTACGAATCCAATGGTTAAATGTTCAAATTCCTTTAGTATATTTCCCCTTTATCTACTATTTTGAATTTAGCCAAGTGGTAGGAGCTACAATGACTATATCAAAGGGTTGTGGTAAAAATCAAAGGAGATAATATCTGGAAGTGCACTGCCAGTATAAAATCTGTTTCCTAGTACACCAAATTCCAAATAAAGAAGAGATAAGGATCACCTCAATTGTAACCTGGACAAGGGGAGTAGAAATTTTACAGATATTTCAAGGAAATATCAGAATCACAATGGCAAATACAAGTCACACAGAGTCCAAGAGTTAACAAGCTCATTCTTTTTTGTTGTTGTTGATGTTGTTTGTTTTTTTTTTAGAGAGAGAATTTTTTAATATTTATTTTATAGTTTTTTTTCCCCCTCAGCAGATACAACATCTTTATTTTGGTGCTAAGGATGGAACCCAGGGCCACGTGCAGGCCAGGCAAGCGTACTACCGCTTGAGCCACATCCTCAGCCCTCATTCTTTTGTTTTTAAAAAATACCCATCATGAGCTCTTAGTCTTTCAATTCTGATTGCTCAGTTCTCATTATACTAACATCCAGGGTCCCTTTTCTCCATAGCCATATAAAAAATCAGGTGTCAGATGGTGTAGCATACATTTTTAAGAGACTCTCCTTCAGGCATCTTTCACCATATTCTAAACCCAATTCATCTCCTCTATCTAACCCCAGACCAAATTCCCAAATTGCATGCATGTGCCCCAAAACCAAGCAATAAGCAGAAAATTTCACTTTTCCTCGTCCCTTTACTGGTACTCTAAAAGGTACCACCATATCTACAGAAGCCAAATTAATATTATTTGACTGCCTTCCTCTGTGCATTGCTCCTTTTGCTTCCCCAACTCCTCAAGTATCTAATCATACGCCTTTAAATTTTCTGACTCCATTTAGACTCCTCCTCTTCATCCTTAAAGCTGTTCTTGAATTCACTCATGGAACCACTCTAAGTGCTTCCCCGAGGTTAGTGGTCTCCCTTTGTTAGGACATAGTAGAGTGATTTTTAGTCAGTGTTTCCACTGATGTGACTAAAAGACCTGACAAGAACAATTTTAAGGAGGATAAGTTTATTTGGGGGCTCACAGTTTCAGAGATCTCAGTCCATAGGAGGACAGCTCCATTCCTTGGGGCTTAAGGGGAGACAGAACATCATGGTAAAAGGGTGTGGTGGAGGAAAGCAGCTAGCATGATGATCAGAAAGCAGAGAGAGATAGACTTCACTCACTGGATACCAAATATATACCCCAAAGGCTCGCCCACCTCCTCCTGCCATGCACTACCTGCCTTTGCAGTTAATCCCCATCAATTCACTGATTGAGTTAAGGCCCTGATAACCCAATCACTTCGTCTCTGAATGTTCTTGCATTGTTTCACACATGAGCTTTGGAGGGACACCTAATATCTAAACCATAACAGGTGGCTACATAATCAGTTTTGAATAATTTCTTGACAACTCTGGCTTTCCCCACTCACAATTCTGTATTTCAGACTTGCGCTAAGAATAAGACACCTTTGCAATTGCCCAGAACTGCTTACTCAAGAAAACACAGGCTTTTAGTGGATTTCTTTCTAGAAGTTTAAGGTGGTAGTGGAGGGGACATAACCCTGAACAAATTTGGAAGTTACACCCTCAAATTCATAATCTGATCCTCTACTACCTGAGGTAAATAGGTACAGGGATTCACTTTTCTAAGAATCTACTCAAGGAAAATACAAACTTTGCTTTGCATTTCAACCAAAAAGGCTTTAAAAATCAACTGCTTCCACCTGTTAGTGATGCCCCAACCCAGAGCTGCTGGTTTATTCTTCTATTTTTTTTTTTAACACACCGAATTTGCTTTCATCATAAGTGCATGATCAGGATAATCCAACTTTCCTGCGGCTCTTTGAGAGCCATCAAACTAATGCCTCCTGTAGGGAAAAACAAAAACCTAAATCTCAAGAGCATCCTTAAAATGTTCAGCCTTTCTATTCAAAATAGAATGGTCACAACGGATTTCAACTGAAAGGTCTTGGGGGAAAATCAAGCTAGATTTGAGAGTAGGAAGAATCCTTTAGCCAACTTCTCTAGAGGTAAGGAGCGAATCTTTGCTTCGCATTTATTTAAAGGAAGGACAGGAATTTGAACATTCTAATACTAGACGTTTTGAAAAACATGCGCAAGCCCTTTTTCCTCAGACTGTTCCTCTTCTGGGTTGTTCTTCTCCCACCCTCAAACCTTGCTGCCTAACTTCCTCAAGACTCCAGGCATTTTTTTATTCTGCCTGTTCCTCCAATTTCCAACTTCCTCTTCCTGGTGAAGTTTACCAGCATTTTACCTTATTCACGTTTACTCATTGAACTTCATATGTGGTTCCTAAACCTGGCTGACCGGAATCACTGGAAAGGATTTTAAATGATTAAGATTCTTGCCCTCCCCACTTTATTTTTAATCAACTTAGGAGTTGAGTAATGGGTTCAGGAATCTTTATAATATTCTCAGCCATTCCCTAGGTTTAGATATTATTGACATTCTTTTAAAACATTATGTGTCCACTACTCTGTGCCAAAAGTAAAAAGAAGTATATCTTATGGGCTTCATGGCTCAGCTGGTTAAAGCACCTGTCTAGTAAACTGGGGGCCCTAGGTTCGGATC